CCCCGATAAGAACATAAGAAGACCCCTTCTGGATCAGACCAACAGTCCATCTAGTCCAGTATCTTGTCTCACACAGTGGCCAGTCAGCTCCTATGGACAGCCAACAGTAGGGCACAGAGGCTGAGGCCTTCCCCTGATGTTGCCTCCTGGCTCTGGAATTCAGACTTAGTGCCTCTGGATGTGGAGATTTCCCCCAGTTGCCTTGGCTAGTAGCTATTGATAGACTTATCCTCCATGAATTTATAAAAACATAAGAAGAGCCTAGCTGGATCAGACCAGTGCTCCATCTAGTCCAGCATTCCATCTCACACAGTGGCCAACCAGTTCCTCTGGATAGCCAACAACAGGGCATACAAGCTGAGGCCTGCCCCTGATAAGAACATGAGAAGAGCCCTGCTGGATCAGACCAATGGTCCATCTAGTCCAGCATCCCGTCTCACACAGTGGCCAACCAGTTCCTCTGGAGGGCCAACAACAGGGCACAGAGGCTGAGGCCTTCCCCTAATGCTGCCTCCTGGCTCTGGGACTGAGAGGTTTTGTGCCTCTGAATGTGGAGGTTCCCCTCAACCACTATGGCTAGTAGCCATTGACAGATTTATCCTCCATGAATCTATCTAATCCCCTTTTAAAGCTGTTTATTCCTGTGGACATCACTACATCCTCTGGCAGTGAATTCCACATTTTAATCACTCTCTGTGTAAAGTAGTATTTCCCTGGAGAGGACCTAATGCTAAATAAATAAATAAATGTTGGGTTGAAAGGAGATGCAACATTTCAGCACTGGTTATAGTGTGCTGGCTCTTACGACTCCCTTCTGATCAGTTGAACCTTATGACTCCTCAGCTAAGGCTTCCAGGTAGAACGACTTCCTGCAATGGGAGAATAGCTTCCTGTGATGAAGAATGGATTCCTCTGATGAAGACAAGTCTTTGCTGAAGGAACTCTTTCTCTGTTGGAGGAAGCATTTGTCAAAGAGAGCCACAGAATCCAATCCAATGTGTTCCTTAACCATAGCATTATCCTGGCTTTACAACTTGTACAAAAACATATACCAGCCATTAAAATTGTGGCTCAAATATTGTCCTGTTCTTCCCCCATCCCATTCTTCTTTGTAGCTTTTGGTACTGTCAGTCATGAGGCCCTTCTGCACCACTTCTGCAGGGTGAGGTTGGCAGTGATACGTTGCAATGAGTTAGTCCTTGACCGATTTCCCACAAGCCGCTGCTCCACCCTTGCTCTTCCCTTTACCCGGACTGTATGTATCAATTTTGCCCCGCAGCTTTGTCTGATTTCCCTGGGCCTACTCGATCCTCCAAAAAAAAAAAAAAAGATCCTCAAAAAAATCGGTCCTTGTCTTTTCAGGAGAAGGAAGAGAAGACTCTTGCTCTTCCCTAGGGGAAATGTTACTGTCTTCTCTGCTTTCTTAACATCTTCATGAAGCTACTGGGAGATGTAATTTGGAGACTGAGGCTGCGGTCACACGAGTGGTTTGCGCCGATACCATCACACTACCTTTGCCGATTTAAAGAGCACGATTAGACAGCAACATCTGCCTTCCGAACCCCAGTCGTTGCCACCCCATTCTGCCCCACTTTGGAAGTTGTTACTGGGTTTTTGCTTTTAAAAGTTCTATGGCGTGGAAAGAAAGTTGTAGGCTTCAGGGTAGTGATTTCAAGATTGAAAGCTATTACCACAGACTGGTCACAGTGGCTTCTCAGACAAAGCTCTTTTGGGAAACAGGAAAAATAAGGTTGACATGCCCCATCAGAACAGAACATCAGTCTTTTATCTATGTCTTTTATCAGGAAATGTGGGATTAAAATATTGTACTAAGGTTTTAATTAATTTTATCTTGTTTTATCTCTGGTTGTACATCGCCCAGAGCCCTGAAGTAGCAGGAGTGGGGCGATTCATGAATATAATAAATAAATAAAAATAAAAAATAAACTGTAGGACTTTATTTTGGAATTGTATGCCTAGGCACAAGATATCGGACTGTACATATAGTGTTCTTAAACCTACATTGCTTTAGTGTTCCATTTCCTCAGACTGTGTCTCCTTGTAAGGTTCTTGTATGAAGAAAACTATATAGAAAGATGTTTTTTGAATAATAACATGTTTTGTATGGCATTTGGATTGGGGTCCTTATAGTGGACTTGCATGACTCGGCAAGACCTGGCTGCTTGCCATTGTTCAACAGCAGCCACCCTATGAAAGCCCGTGTGGTGTAGTGGTTAGAGCTTCAGAGTGGGTCTGGGTGACCCATGTTCCAATCCTCATCTTGCTGTGGAAGGTCACTAGGTGATTATGGACCAGTCACATACTTTCAGTGTTGGGTTTTTCACCTTTTAATAAAGGCTGAGCACATACATAAGAGCCATACGCTATGTATTTGATTTAAAAGATTACTTTTCTAAAAGATAAAAGGGCAGGGAACTTTTGGATAAAAGAAATAAAGAATACAACCTAGTCTCTAAACCTGGATCCCAACAGTTACATGGCTAATAACAGAATAATGGCTACTTCTTCTCCTTCTTCTTGCTCAGGACAAAGAGTGGAAGATCTGCAATGAAACTTGTGAATACCTGCATACAAGACCAAAGCATTTCCTATAAACAATATGTTGACTGACCAATAGAAAGGTTAGTAAAGGTAAAGGTTTCCATTGCTCGAAAGTCAGTTGAATCCGACTCTAGGGATGTCGTGCTCATCTCCGTTTCCAAGCTGAAGAGCCAGCACTGTCCAAAGACGTTTCTATGGTCACGTGGCCAGCACGACTAAACGCCGACTCACATGGAACACTGTTACCTTCCCACCAAAGTGGTACCTATTTATCTACTTGCAATTTCTTGCTTTCAAACTGCTAGGTTGGCAGGAGCTGCGACCAGAGACGGGAGCTCACTCCATCATGCGGCACTCGGGTCTCTAACTGCCGAACTACCAACCTTCCAGTCTGCAGTTCAGCGTCTTAACCACTTGAGCCACTGCAGCCCAATCAATAGAAAGGTTACAGGTCACTCAATTAGGATAAACAATTTCTGCAAACTTCCCCACACAAACTCATCTCTACTCTAAGTGGTTACAGGTTACACTACCTAATGTCCTGTTTACTAGCAACATCTAAGAGTATCAGTTAACTCTGTAATGGCTGGAATGTATGCAACTTGTAAACTCCAAAATTCAGCCTAACCTACATCACAGGGTTGTTGAGTGGGTAAAAAGGAGGAGAGGAGAAGAACGTAAGGTGCTTTGGTTTCCACTGTGCAGAAAGGTAAAGTATAAATGGAGCAAATAAATATAGTTGAAGATGGGAGGCAGATAAAAGGTACGTTGGTGAATGGCTGAGAAGGAGCGAATGAGGTGGGGGAAAGAGAGAAGATATGAGGGTTGGCAGGAGGAGG